GAAATTTGCTATTATTTACGAAAATAATAAAATATTTGCGTAGAATTTTATTAAAATTTTTTTTAACTAATTGAATTCTTTTCCTAATTTTGATCAAAGTAGTAGATATTAAAAATTATTGAATTGAGGAAAGTTTTTGAAAATAATTAAAATTTTGCCAAGAATTTTATTAAAATTTTTCGAAAATCATGGAATTTTGAAGAAGAATTTTACTTCGTTTGAAAATGTAATTGAATTTCTGCAATCATTTCTATTAAAATTCAATTTGTTTTAGTGTTTTTAACTAAAATCTTGTATAAATCCATTATTTTTAGTAATCAGTAAAATATATATTAAAAAATTTAACTAATTTTAGAAGAATTTTAGATTTAAAAATTTTTGTCAAATCTAAGTTTTTTTATACTTCTAATTAAATTCATTTAAAATTGAAATTTTACAAAATTTTAAACAAAAATCTTTTGAAGTTCATCTACTTATAAAAATTATAAACGCAACTCTTTTAAAATTGAATTAATTTTGAAATATTTAAGTGAAATTAGATTTCAAGAATAAACTTTAGAAGACAACAATTTTTCAAGATTTCGATCAAAATTCCCTGCCTTTTCCAGCTTTTTTCAAGGTAAACATTTAATTTTTTTTCCAATTACTTTTAATAAAACTCCCTGACGTTTCCCTGATTTCTCAGACTTGTGGCAACCCTGCTATGGTTTGAAATTTAAAAACAAGCTACTTTTAGGCAGTAAGGCTTAAAATTCAGTGAAAAATGGTTCTAATGTACCTAAACATAACAGTTTTAGTGAAAAGTGGACTGAAAGTAAGATTAACTTTTTACAGTATTCTCTTCTCGAATAAGAAAGAAAGTATAACAACTTTCTCTGATGTGAATGAGAATAAAAAGTTTTCGTGATTTGCAGTAAAGTACGTCTTGTCTCTTGTCTCTTTGTCGCAATGTGGCCAAGGCTGTGATACAAATTATTGCCTCGCATCATATCAGCTGAGTGTGTAGATTTCGACTTCGAAGGGATCCATTGGGGTCATCGTTGACTCTCAAGTGTATATACCTTGCTTCATATTCGCCTGTATTCGCCAGAGATGCACTTGCGTGCGTTTGTATATTATAAAATACATAACATACATTGCTGTGGATGGGGTAGAATAATTTGTATTCCAGTAACTCTTGACTAGGTCACATCTATGGAGGCCCACTTTTCTGATTACCCGGTTAAACGTTTGTATTACACTTGTATTACATTTGAATTGGATTGGTTGAGCTAAAGGGCTCGATGATAAGTAGCTGCTATACACAAATGTCCCTGTGTGAACCGAGAGCAAGACTCAGACCCAGACGGTTGCTCTTATTATTATTCACCTGCTTATTATTGTCTCTCTTTACTCTCTTACAATTACAACACTTACATACACATTTCACTAGGGTCAACAAATTTATCAACAATTTATTTTAACCGGAAATGCCAAATCGTATGAGATTTCGTATCAATTTACTTTCTATTATATCCATCATTAGTGTCGTAAATTACGTATACGTCAAACTTTAACTCATTTATATTGTATGTATTATAATCTAGAAATCTTTTCGAAATGTAAAATTAACGTATTCAGAGTGTCTACTATTTTCGTTTAACAAAATTCCCGCGTTTATTTCCTAATTTTCACCGGTTGTTTTTTTCTCATCAAATTTAAATTTATTTCATTTCGAACATTAATAAATCTACAAATGGCTTCCAAAAGTTTTATTACAGTTTTTATATGAAGATGATGTGTCCGCAACGTTTTTAAAAACGAAAAATCAAAAAAGAATTTTTTTTCAGGTTCAATTTATCTCTAATTTTCATGTTTCTTAATTTTTAAGAAATTAATTGTTGCTTAAGATACAATTATTAAAAAATAACATGATTTAGAATCAAAAATAAAAAAACGTCCCATTATTTTTTCGATTTCGTTTTTAAAAACGTTGCGGACTTCAGCATCATGTTTTTATGAATAATTAAATTCTTTTCACGAGTTTCTTTAAATTTTTTTGAAAATAATGTTTTTTTTAATAATTTTAATTAAAAATTTGGAAAATAATTGAATTAAACAAAGAATTTTTTCAATTACTATTTCAATTATTATTTATAAAAGTGATTGAATCCTTTCAAAGAATGTTATTATTTATGAAAATAATTAAATGTTTGCGTAGAATTTTATTAAAATTTTTGAAATTAATTCAACTGTGGGGAACAATTTAAAATAGATTTTAAATATAATTAAATTTATGGGAAAAATTTTATTGTATTTGAAAATAATTGAACTGTTTTTTAGAATTTTATGCAAATTTATAAGATAATTGAATTTTTGTGAAGAATTTTTTTAAAAATAATAAATTTTAAGAAATTTTAAGAATTTTTCTATTTATGAAAATAATCGGATTCTTGAGTCGAATTTTTTTTACAGTTTCTAGAAATAATTGAATTCTTTCGACGAATTTTAATTACATTTTTTAGAATAATTACATTTTTCGTGGAATTTTCATAAATAATTTTTATAAAATTTTCAAGAATAACTGCAATTTTCGAAGAATTTAGATAGTTCTATGAAAATTCGAATTATTTAAATACAAAAATAAATAATTTATTGAATAATTGAATATTTCTTAAAATAGAATTCTTATAAAGAATTTTAAGAAAATTTTTTTAAATAATTGAATTCTTTCGAAGAATTTATTCTAAAATGCATTAAAAATAATAACAGAAATTAAATTAAATTAATTTAATAATTGAATTCCTCTTAAAATTTTATTATTTCTGAAAACAATAGATACAAAAATTAAAAATTTGTATTAAAAATAAAAATTCATTTGCAACGGAGTTCTTGCGAAGAAGTTTTTAAAAATTTTTTTCAAATAATTTAATTCATTTGAGAAATTTTATTGAAATTGTAAATATTGAAAATCATTGAATTTCAAAAAATTGTTGACATTAATTAAATTTCTACAAAGAACTGTAATAAAATTTTTTGAAAATAATCGAATTGTTACGAAGAACTTATAAAAAAAAATTTGAAAATAGTTTAATTCAAGAAATTTCATTAAAAATGTATTGAAAATAATTAATAAATTCTAATAAACAAAATTATATTAAAATTTTTTAAATAATTGAATTCTTTTGATGAATTTTTATAAAATTTTTAAGAATAATTATCTTTTTCGAGGAATTCCATTAAAATTGTTTTAAAAATAAGTGAAATATTGCGAGACGAGTTTTATTACAGTTATAAAAATATTTGAATTTTTGCATCGAATTTATTAAATTTTATTAAAATTGTATTGAAAATAATTGAATTCCCGAGATGAATTTTATTATTTATGAAAATAATTAAAATCCCTGCGATGAATTTTATAAAAATCTTTCTAAATAATTGGTATTTTTTCGAAAATTTTTTTTGTTAATAACATTGAATGGTTTGAGAGAATTTTATTAAAATTTTTTAAATTGTTTCTAAGAATTTAGGTTTAATTTTTGAGAATAACTTTTTGATTCCATCCATTAGAAACTTTAACGAAGTGTAAATTTCCAAACATAGAGAAAAGTGTTACAAATTTAAAAAAAGTATCCAAATAATAGCAAATCGTAAAAAATATCAGTAAATGTAGGTTTTACTATGGATGAGAACGAAGCCTGCACAGTGGTGTAAATTTTCAACTTATTGTGCAATATCTTATTATGAACGAATCTTGAAAGATGTTCAGCATTAAAATAGCTGTTGATATCATTACCAGTTTTTAAGAATTTTTTCCTTTTTCTTTTGAAAATTCCTTTTTGCTAAAAGATAATTGAAATGAGATTTGAACAAAAACGAAAAAGTCAACTTTCTAAATAAGATCACTGTGAACTTGACCTTAGACCTTTAGAGTTATGCAGACCTTCGAATTTTTTGAATTTTTTTTACTACTTTTTTTAAAAAACTGCGACCTTTTTTGATTTTCTATATTAAATACTGGAAGAAAATACTGCATTTATCTGGTAGAAACTAAAACTTATTATTTTGATTCAAAACTCGAATTTATACTATAAATAAAGTATAGAAAATTAAAAAAGAACTTTTATTTTAATTATTGCAATTATAAAGTCAGTTCCTGTCGTACCTGTTGATGGTAGTTAAAAATATAAAAACGTTCGGTTACTCTTTCATTGAAGAAATTAAGTTCTAATTTAAAAGGCAAGTTCAATTTAAAAATACAGAAAAGAGCAGGAATTTTGTCAAATATTTTGTAAAATTGTTTAGTTGACAAGTTAAATGAGATGAAGTGTTGGTTATTGACCCTAGATCTATCGCAAGTGTTACACTATTGAGTAAATTTTTAATTGCAATTAAAATGATACGAAGTGCGTTAGAAGTCGCGTGAGCACACGGTTACAATGTCAATTAGATCAAGCTAAGCCTATCACAAAGAATAATACACTTAACTCGAGCGGGTACAGAGAGTCAGTATATAGAGTTTATGTGATTTACATTTTATAACCTACTCAAACAAATCTTCCTCGATTTCTTTCAATTTCATATCAAAATATGAATAATTATACAGCCATTGTTATTTATAGAAAATAAATTCTTTTTACTTTACATTAGGCACAAATATTTTCAACTTTTACGATTTTTATCATTTTCATTCACATGAAATTGTAAATATTTATATTTTCTATATTCCTTTAATCTAAATTAATATCAGATTTTTAACATACAGTGAAACCTGTCGGTGCATGTCGGAATGCAACATATTTTTTCAATTTTATTACAGCAAAGAGCAAACAATCCTTAAAATACTGTTTTATAATTTAATTTTGTAAAAATTTTACAATATTCTAGTACTAAGTGAAAATAATTCTTGTTGGACAGTTTTAACTATTATTAGAGAGTAAAGATAATAGACAACTAATCGGTTATTTGAAGCAAATAAAATTTTTTTCCAGATGAAATTTCGTAGATATAAAAAAACTTACGTTATCAGCTAAAGGTGGATTTCCTCGAGTCTAAACCCATCATTGACTTCACACTTAAATCATTTTCCTCACGAAACTTAATTGAGACAATAGGAGGAAGAAAGAACACGACTCTCCTTTATACAACTTGCCACTTTTTCAACACTTTTAACACTTTTTTTTTTTTTTTTGCTTTTTAACACAAATGCAATTAAATTATCTCAAGTTATTTTTAAAACCACATAATTTACGTGTCCGACGAGATTTTTTTCGTCTTGTCCACAAAACTGTCATTTAAAACTTTCTAATTTTCCCCAACAAATTATCTTATTATTTTTGTCCTGGAAAACATCAGTTAATTTTTTATTTTCTAGTTTTAAATCGCAATTTTTTAAATCAATAATCAATTGTTCAAATTTTCACTATTTCTCTTTTCTTCATCAGAAGAAAACTTCTCTTCTATTAGATACAACTTTTCTTCGCATTGAAGATTATTTCTTCACTGTGATTTTTGATTACTTCTTGACAGAAAAACAGGCGAAAATAATTTTCTTCTTCTTGTCCATAAAAGCATAACTCTTCTTCGAAAATAATTTGAAAATAATTCGAAAAACTATTCGAAGAACAATTCGAAAACAATTCGAAGAACAATTCGAGAAACAATCCAAAAAAACTTTTCGAAAATAATTTGCAAACAATTGGAGAACTGCAGTAAATTTTCGTTCGGCAAACAATTTTTCCAATAGTGCAGAAAAAAATTTGTCAATAAATTATAGAAATGAGCAAACTTTCACGTTCGCGGTGTGCTCCCTATAATGCATATGACCAGTGTCATTACTAAAGACAGCGGAAATGACAAATTTCCATCGTTTGGAAGCCGAGGTCGAAGTTTCATTAGAACCTGAATTGGCTAAGCAAAAATATGAGATCGAAATTTCTTCTTCCTGAGAGGATCACCTGATGCCAAAAGAATACTCTAGACTCAACTTTACATATAGCCACACATATAATTGATATACCCTTTCTATTTATTACGAGATTCAAATAAAATTTCTTTATTTCCGGTATATTTAAATTCTATGCAATAAATAGACATATGAGTTGCGAATTTAGCAAATATAGTTTCGAGGGAAAAAATGAAAAAGTACGAAAAACTAATTTAACTACAGCACTAAAATGACATCGAAAAAAATCTAAACACTCCGCTGAGAGGGATAGTTGGCACTGACAGATCTAACTATCATTCACAGTTGCGCTGTGCTTGACCATATTATCGTCATGACACGTGTGTACATACACTTTTACAATTCAATGAACATTTACTATGTACATGTGTGTATACATATAATTTATATATATCATATCTTTGTATAAAATAAATAAGTAAACTTGCATTATATCTATATGTGTGGTTTTATATATATAAATACGAACATATACATAAATGTTTAATGATTGTGATTACAGGAGGAGACAGGGGTGTAGGTGGTCAAACCGCAGCACTAAACTGGTGCCAAGATCATCTTCCAAGTTTCTATTATAACACTATTATGCGTTTTGTTATTACGACTTTTTTCAACAAAAAAAATACATTTTTCAAAAAATTTTTTATAATTCGCAGCAAGAAGTATTAAAATCTTAAATATAAATATATATTTGAATCATAAAAAACAAAATCGTATTTCTTACACTGAAAAAAATGATTTAATTATCAAATAACCAATTACTTGGCTATTATTAAATAAATAAACATTTAATCATTATTATTTTTCCAAATTCCAATTTTCAAATTCTTTTCAAATTCCCTGACTTCATTTTTAAATAAATATTTAATCATTATTTTTTTATACAAATTAAACTTATAAAAAATTGTTACTCGAAAATTCTTCAATCAAATATATATTATAGACAATAAAAACTTCAAATAACTTTAAAAAAATTCCATTACACTTAGTAATTAGTGAAAAATTAATTCTACAGAAGTATGAATAAAGTTCAAATTTTCAAAAAATTTAATTTGAAATTCATTTTTGAATCAATATTTATTAGAAAACTCTACGAGCATTCCATTATTTAACTACAAAAATAAATATTTTATTAAACAATTAAATGTTTTTTAAAATTGAATTTTTATAAAAAATTTTATCAACAAATTTTTAAATAATTGAATTCTCTCGACAAATTTTAATAAATTTTTTATGAATAAATATCATTTTTTGAGAAATTTGATTTAAAATTGTATTAAAAATAATTGAAAAATTCTGCCAAGGATTTTATTAAAATTTTTGAAAATATAATTGAATTTTGGAGAAAAATTTTATTATTTATAAAGATAATTGAAATTTTGACGAGAATTTTTGTAAATTTTTAAACATAATTGGATTTCTGCGAAGAATTTTATTTAAATTATTTTGAAAAAAAATTGAATTGTTACGCCAAGAATTTAATTAAAATTTTTGAAAATAATTTAATTCTTTAAATAAATTTAATTAAAAATGTATTGAAAATAATACTTAAATTAAAATAATTGAATCTCTGTAGAAAATTTGATTGAATTGAGAAAATTTTTTGAAAATAATTGAAATTTTGCCAAGAATTTTATTACATTGTTTTTTAAAATAACTGAAATTTAGAGAAAAGTTTTATTATTTATAAAGATAATTGAAATTTTGAAGAGAATTTTTTTAAACTTTTGTCAATAATTAAATTTTAGGTATTTTTAGGCATTTTTATTAAAATAGTGGATATTAAAAATCATTGAATTGAGAAAAGTTTTTAAAAATAATTAAAATCTTGCCAAGAATTTTATTAAAATTTTTGAAAATAATTGAATTTTTGAGAAGAATTTTACTACTTTTTGAAAATAATTGAATTTCTGCTTGAAGTTCATCTGCTTATGGAAATTATAAACGCAATTCTTTTAAAGTTGAATTAATTTTTAAATATTTAAGTGAAAGTTGCGTGGCAACCCTGAATTCATTTAAAAAAATTGTTTATTGGTCCTAAAATATGATGATAATTGATTTAAATCTTGCATAAAATTAATTTTATTACAGTAATTTTTTGAGAGGAAATCAATGATCAGAAAATATTCTGACCCCTTTTTTGATTTTTTTCTTAAAACTTGATAGAATTTAAAAGCCAGCCGTAATGACATAATAATTATTAATATTTAAAAATTATTATTTATTATTTCTAATTTAATAATAATAATAATAATAATAATAATAATAATAATAATAATAATAATAATAATAATAATAATAATAATAATATAATAATAATAATAATAATATAATAATAATTTCTGGTTGCTCTTCGAGGAAAAGCACCGAGAGATTGATTTCCCGTTCACCTTTCATGTAGAGCGGGTTGCAAATATCCAGGCGAGAGTTCCGTATTTAAATCAGAAATTATGTATACATCATCAACTCGTCACTCTTCCGCATTTATGTTTTTGATAGCTAATTTACTTCAACGAGCTCGATCGACTCTAATTTCGTTAAAATTTCTAATTTACCGGAAATTGATTTTATAATTTATTATTATACACTGCAATTATAATTTAGATGAACACTGTATACACTGATAAAAATTTATTTTCGATTTAAATAAACGATTACTTGTCTATTATCAAATAAATATTTACTTGAATTGAATAATTTTTATTTAAGTCAATGATATATTAATAATTATTTGCTTCAAATACTCAAATGATGTATTGATTCAAATATAATTTATTTTGGATTAAATAAATATATTATTTCATTTAAGTGAATATTTATTTGTTTTGATAAATTAATTAAAACTTAAAATTGTTTATTCAGAAAATGTTGAGTTTTAATTAATATATTAATACTGGATGATATACAGCAAATATTGATTTGATAAATATTTTATTCGATTTATTTGATTTTGAGACAAAAAACGTATCAAAACATTTGCTTATTGGAAACTTTTGATACGTAAATACGTTTTTTGCCTCAATTTGACCCTTTTCCTTCTATAAATAAGAAATAATTTTCTCCAGAATGCCCTTAAGACACTTATATTGTTTTTGCAGTAAAGAGAAAATTAGATGGAATACAATAAAAATTAATCTCTTCTTCTCCCATGGGAAGAAAATAATTTTTGCATATAACTTAAACGATGACAACTTTACTATAATTTATAAAAAAAGTCATGACGGAAATGTACGCGCCCAAGTTTGTTGCGATAAAGTAAAGTGCAATTATCCGAGATTGATGTTGATACCATGATAAATATTCGTATTGTCTACTGACGTAAATGCTTATTCAAAGTTGAAAAGTAGATTAAGAGAAAATTTTTTTTTTTAACAAGATTTCTGATATCAAATAAATCATTCAAGGCTGCTTTCAAACGTCATCATTTATGTATATATTGAAGAGACGAAAATTACAACAATTATGTTAAAAATTATTTCTTATTAATCAATCTAGATAAGGATTACAATTTTTAGCCCTTAATCGATAATTCTGAGAAATATTGTCAATTGTTATTTCTTGGAATTTTATATATGTTTCGTAATGATTTGATGTTTTGATGGATGTCCTACATTGTTTTGTATATTTTGTACACAATAAAATGCATAAAATATACTTAAGAAGCGCAACGAAGAAATAATGTCCCTGAAGTTAGCATCGAAAACTGTTTAATTTAATTAATTTAATAATAAAATTTTATATAAATAAAATATTTAATACAAATTTCTCTTCATTTTAGAAAAATATGATAACTTTGCGAACTAGTTTTTTTTTATATTTTCACTCAAGATGAAAAAATAACCGACATAACCTACAAGATTTAGCTTCTTAGTCACCTTTCTTCACAGTACGTCACGCTTTTTAAAAAAATTTAATTCTTCTTTTTAAAAATTAGGCTAAATTCTTGAAGACTATCACTAAATACTATATAAAAAAATTCGTTCACTAAATCTTTTTAAATTCTTTTTAAAAATTACTGAAAAATTTGTTACTAACCAGCAATCATCTTCATTACCGAAAGAATCTTTGCCCATTTTAAGGTAGCGTCTCATTTCTGTTTGGATCCCGTTCGTTCTTCCTTTCTTCCCAGGTCAATCGAATTAAACATGCACAGGTATTGATATAAAAATTAAATTTAGAATAAATGTAAAAATCACTTTTTGTAACCATTGAAGACATTCAAGTTGGTAACGATTTTAAGAAGGAATTTTTTTAACTGAAGAGAATAGTACGTAAAAGATAGACTATCAAGAGACTATCAATAGAGACTAAGGAAACAATTTTACGCAGAAAAGTTGGAGATACAGTCTTCTGCAATGACTCTCGTATTCTGACGTTTGAGTCGTCTTATTCGTGATATATTAATAATATTATCTTTGTCGATCTCTATATATACGATCAGGAAGTATGTAATCTTATTTTCATGTATTTAAAATATTATCTAAACAAAGTCCAATTTATTTACTTTTCATACTCAAAAACCTAATAATTTTTGGAAAACTTATCATATTGCCCTAATAATTAATGTGATTTTTAATATCCAAGGTTAACACTATTTTGCTCATTTCAAATTTCCTGACTTTTCCAGGTTTTTAAAACTACATTCATATTTTACAAAATTAAATAATTATTCATTATTATTTTTCCATAGGAATTAAAATTATTCAAAAGATTCAAATTCAAACCTTTTTAAAATTAAACAACTTATAAAAAATTGTTATAAAACATGATCAAGAGATAAAATCATTATTTTATATTATAAGAATATTGCTACTGTAACTTATTCAAAATTACTTTCATTACTTCAATTAAATATTGTTTTCCACAATTTTTAACTAAAATTCTTCTTTAAATTAATTATTCATTCATTTTTAATAATTTTTGAAAAATTTATTTGCAAATTTTCAAATCTATTTGTTTACAATTCAATTTTACGAAATTTCATCGATTATTCGGAAATTCTTCAATCAAATATATATTAGAAAATAAAAACTTCAAATAACGCAAAAAAATTCAATTAAACTTTTTCAATAAAATTAAATCTACACAATTTTCAGTTAAAAGTATGAAAAATTGAAACATTCAAAGATTATAATTTAAAACCTTTTCAAAATTCAATTATTTCTAAATTATTCTAAATTATTCTAAAAATTCAAATTAGAAAACATTTTTACTAATTCAATTATTATCTATAATTTTAACTAAAATTCATATTTAAATA